CTTGAAGTCATTTGTCTTTTTTCCCTAGATTTCTTTATCGTGTGGGGGAAATTATCCGCAGTGTGATATCAATGGGCGTTTTAAAATGTAAAAATGGACATACCGGTTAATTATCGTATTCCTTGTAATGATTTTCACTCTGTATCACGTCGTGGTGATTTAATTTTCATTTGTAATAATACTTCTTATAGTGTAGAGAGCTACTGATCCTATTGGACTCTTCATCCTGTTGAGCAAGTCCTATGCCGAAAAACTGAGTTGAATTGCGTTTCGGTTTCATCCTGTTTGGAAATTATCAGCAATGTAGACCTCACGAGTTCTGGGGAGATTCACGCCTGCACCTTACGGTCGCTATACAGCTGCCGACCCATCTACGGGTTACGCAGTGCGAATGAGCGAACTAAACCACGACAGAGTCTGGAACGGAACTGTCTGTACCTCCTGGCTTTTTTTACATAAACGGCGGAATGATATTTTATCGCTGTTGCCATCGCTGAGTGTATACTACCTTTCGGTTAGACTGAATCAAAAAAGCTGTTAGCAAAATATCAGCTTACGTTTTGATGTGTGCATGGAACCAAGGGAATCTTTGGAAAAATTGTCTAAAGTTTTGTACTGATCTTTAAACATCCGTCTTGCTACGTTATGGTGTATCCTCATGCTAATCATCACGTGCTGAACTTATTAGTGCACAGGTGGTGATAGCCATAATACACATCAGAAGGTGTATGCACTAATAAAAGTTTTTAACTGCGATTGACACTAGTTTACAGAAACGATTTGTAACATGTATAAAATAAGGGACAAAATAAGATGTTGGAGCAAGTCAACAGGGAACTTATCGTATGTGAGAGTCCCTTGGTAAAAGTCCGGACGTGTTTCATGATTGTCCGTGGACTTGGAGTGTTTGGCTCGCTGCGCGCTCGGGAGTCTGTGTGTGCTGGCATATTTCGGTTTCCCTATAAGTAGGTCCGCTTGCGTGTACGTGGGTGTGACAGCACATGAGTTGTTGCTACGCTCACTAGCCCGTACAGACAATCGACATCCGATGAGTCACCTTAATGTAACGTGGTTTGTGGGTATGAAAGAAGACAAGTCTCGTGATCCAGTGAGCGACTATGAGCTGAACAAGTCAGGTGTGTGGTTGACCGGATAGCTACAAACTCAGTATTCGTTCGTTCGCCTGAAGAGTCCACTTCAGCCATGATCTAGTGATCGATTCATCCGAAGAGACTTTATCCTCCAGGGGCAGTCGGATAAGCTATTTCCTTGTAGTGATCACAGGAGGATTTCACCGATTCGCACGCATCAGTAGTCTGAAGTGAGAAATTTCATTTACGGACGGTTAGTAAACAGTGAAATGTGACAATGTTGTTGTGATGATTATTTGGTTGAAGGCCAACAGGCAGCTGGGATGTCCGATATCTACTTGATTGTTTCTCCCTCGCGTCAATTACTATTCTTGTTTTCTACAACATGTTAGTGAATTTTTATAAAGGAAATTACTCACAAGTTTGCTGAAAACCCTTCGACAGCTTTTTATGAAAATATACTGCGATATCTCGAATATCGTGCCAACCGAAACATCAGGCGGTCTGTGTGCAGCACATTCAGTTGTAGAATATCATAAACGAGAGATTCAGTTGAGTCTCTCGTGAAAAACCCTATTGATTTGCAAACGAGTGTATTTCTCGATGTCAGTGAATATTTCAAACTGCGTCTCCTTCCCGAACGACTGCTGATAAGATCACCACAAAACGGACGTTTCAGCTACCCACTTATGAAAGTGTAGGTGTTGGAGATACCCTGGAATCAACCTAATTTTAGAAAGTATTTTTTAATTTAGTCGATTCAAACGACGGCCTATAGAAAACAATCTTCCATTGATCCAGGCATGTCATCCAATATCTGACTGCCCTCATTACAACCCATCCACGCAGTGCCGAAATTTATTTTTTGTTTGTCCCACTGCTGTCTGTGCATACCCTGGACAATTGTATCCAAGCCTACTTGCACCTGCAACAGAAAATTCGGTGTGGGACACGGCATGCTGCATCGACCAGCTCGAAGACACAATAGTCCTCGCCTGGAACAGGGCGACAGTGGCGGTGCGGTATTTGAAAATGCTACACACATTCCACGGTGAGGGTAAAACCCACTTATAGGAACTCATTCAGACAGGGAACGGCCAGATTGCTTCAACGTCACAACGAACTATCGCTGAATCGCTGGTTTGTTCGTTCGCTCGCTCGCTCGGTTGATTGGTCGGGCGACTGTACATACATACACAAGCCCCATCAACCTTGGTCGGTTGTGATAGATTACAATCGAGTACCCCAGATGATTTTGACGTCTCGACAAACAACTACTATGGGCTGAGGTACGCACAAACGAACCGTTGTGAGTGTATGCATCCATTTGGAGCCAGAAGCGTTTGTGACTTGGGCGGGCACTACAGGTCAAGCCAGAGACAGCATAATTCTAGCCCACGTAATGTCCAACAACGGGTGGAGAACCACTGGCCTGAGTGCCCTTCAGTCATATGGTACCTGTTGGTGTTGGTGAACCGACCCTGGAACATGGCTACTATAATTTCTGGTGCAGTCGCCTGTACACAAGCACATTTACATTCGATCTTGGTTGACATTTTGGTAAAGTTCAACTGGTTGGACTACTCGGTTGTATGAACCTACAGTCTTTGGCACGAATAGCGGTGCGCGCATACACGTATACAGATGCACATGGGAAGACGTGCGTGAACGCACACAGCACCATCTGGCCAACCAGTGCGGCCCACTGTTCAAGGCCGGCCGGCCGGCCGGTAAGTAGCCAGACAGTTGACCCCTCCGTTCATATGGCACCCATTCCCCTGCCAGGTATTTGTCTTTATCTACGCAATTTGGACGTCTAGTAGCTAAACACACCTATAATTTCAGCTGAGCGAGTTTACTTGTCAGGACATCACAATCACGATAACCGCCATTGGAGTTTGTTCGGCCTGAGAACACGCTGCTCAATCAGTGTGTTCTCCTACGTTGACCGTACACATATTGTTGTTTTGTCATTAACATTCAACTGAAATGCCGGTGACGTTTCTGAGTACAGAAACTATGCAGCTTTACCGCTGGGGAACAAGAATGCAGCGTCGATCTAATCCAATCGGCAGTCGACTCGCAATGGTGTTCATCTTATTCCTCTCCAGCATCATCCTTTCTGCTACCGGACTACTCAGTGGCCGTCCAGAGAGTCCACAGGGTAAGCCAGAATTTCTGTCTAGTAGAAAAACCCCACAACTAGCAACAATTTTTCGCTTGTGTGATCCTCTTGCTCATGGAAATAAACATCAGTTTGTCACCTCTATAGGGTTCTCAGAAATCAAAATTCTAGGGCTACTTTCCATTTATTTATCATGATTTGAGCCATAAATCACATCTGCAGAGCGATTACGCCGCTGCGTTTGATAAGATGTATGAAATAAACTTTTTATTGCTCCAGTTGTGACGTAATTAAGTTGATTATCAGAAGGTAACAAGCACTAACAAATGTGCGTCTTACAATACAATAGTTAGGTGCACCTGCGAAAAGTGTAATAAGCCAAAAAGTGACGTATCGTTTGAGGACACTTGTTGAGAGTTTCTGAGTGAAGTTCCGGACGCGGGACGTGTCTTCTCTGCAGTATAGCTGCTACACGTGTTCCGTAGTTGGCCGTGGCGATTTGCGAAGCTCTGTTGACTTCCTGTCCTGTGCGCGCGAGTGTGTATGTTGAGCCTAGTTGTATGCCTATTTATTGTGTGCAGTGTGAAGAGAGGGGTGTACCTTCCTGCTTGATGCTTGCACGAAAATCAATACAACTTGACCTGATGTGCTGAATGAAGTTCATAAGGCTGGCGCGTGACGCATGTGGTAGCCGCGTAAACAGAAATGGATGAGAAGTTTTAGTGTACATGTTGTCGGCTAAGCTTGCCAGTGGGACAGGAATCGTCGCATGGTTTGAGCGTTTGTGACGCGTGATCTAGTGAGTGACCTCTACAAACTCACAATGGGGCTTCTGAACGCACGACACCTTTGTGCTAAAAATGACGTTTCATTGTCAGCGTCAACAAACCTGAGATATCATTTCCGTTGTGGTGCTTCGGATGTTAGAATCTGGAAAATTCGCAACTGGATGTTCAGAAGCACTGTTTCGATTTTGAAAAGGAACAGTCGGGAGTCTGCGATGCGGAATCTAATCATGAAGCCTGCTTTCGCCTTCGTTCAGATTTATGAAGAAATGCGTTTCCTCAGCCGGAGTTTCGTTCCATCTGCTTCAAAGTGCCTATTAGAGAAAGGACACAAAGCGTTTATTGATTCGGGTGCTTTTTTGTAGAAAATCTTGTCACAACTGAACACTAACGATTACCGCCAAAAATGCTGTCTTACGTTGCGTGTATCTGGTTTCAAACGGTGCACGCCAGCTGCTCTGGTTGTAGTACTCCGTTACAGGTGATCCTAAATCGTACCCATGTATGGACAGCAAAAAGCTCACAGAGTAGTCTTGCCTGGTCTACAGAGGCCATGCAAACCATAAAAGAAAATCGTTTAGCTGTAACACCATTTCAGTGCCTAACTGCCATGCCACAACAGAGAAGCATGATGGCTAGGATACTGTCAGGTTTCCCAAGCCTAGATAGGGGAAGTCGAGATGCAGAGGGCGGGTTCGAACCACGGTCAGTAAATTCGCGCTCTATCCACTTGAGCCATTGCGCCCCATATAAACCATCAGAGCAAAGTTACGTTTTTGTACTATAATACTCTGAACTGAAAGTGTGACCCGGTATGAGAAACCCAACACACATTTACAAAAAGG